TCAATTTCGTTTTCTGTGTCCCTGGTAGGACTCTATGGTAAAGCTTGAATTCTGTGTTGAAGATTTAGTGTCTGGTGGCATGCATTTGTGTCCCATCTGTTTATGCCCAAGCTGCTTGCTAGCTAGCCGCTGACTGTTTAGCTGTCGTATATGCTTGTGCCACGTCGCCGTTGAGCCGACATATTTGTCGTTGAGATACCGTAGAACACAGCAAAACTGGATTTTGCCGCTGATAAGATGTGCGAAAGTAGCCGTAGCGTCATATTTCTTTAACAAGCCACTTCCTGGTTCATGAAGGATGACACAAAAAAAGTACCTACACGCACACACACACATCCAATTATTGCAGGCAAGCTACAATTAATTAATCCAATGACTGCAGTTGTCGCCAAGCGACTGAGTCATGAGACGTGAACTTAACACTTTGAGAGTTTTTGGAATGAGCATGCAATTCCTTCGGAAAACGTCACGCTGCCTCGTTTTGGGAGATTCACACTCGAGTCGTCTCCCATCTGCTTGTTGAACACCACAAACTCCTTGAAAGGAAACATTATCGTCTTCGTCTTGATGAGCTTCTAAGCTTTTTTTTTTTTTTTTTTGTCGGCTTTTACATTTTCAGTTTGCTAAAGCATTGAGGGAACATTTAATAATATCACCTCGACATTGTAACCTCATGGTCTCGGAGTAATTGGATTCCATAATTAAATGCTGACCGCAAGAGATTTTTTTTTTCCGATCTTTTTTGTTGTTTTTTTTTTTAGATGATTACATGTACCATTTTAGAGTTTAAGACCCCCCCCCCCCCTTTGTATGTGTTTTTATGTGTTATTTATTTATTTGTTATTTAGGATAATGTTGGAACGAGGGTGGAGGCAGGATTGAATATTACTGGGACAAGTTTTGAAAAATACACCTCAGATAGACTTCCCTGCAATGTTGTCTGAGAGGACAAAAAAAAATAAAAGTAAAAAATTCTCATCCTAGCCAGTGAAAAGAGCTTATGGTCCAATCAGCAGATCCTACCAGTCTGATGCCTCAGTCTCACTTCTAATTTATCTCACTGTGGCCCGAGCAACCTGTGAAGTGCAGCCTGACATTAGTCCTTCAAATCAGAAGTGTGCAATGAAGCGAGGAGTTTTTCCTTCAAGCCAACTCCAGCTTTCATGTTTCTTCATCTCTATCGTATGAGTAAGTTTAGCAATGCTACAGTTACAGTTCAAAGGGCGAGTCATTGTCATGTTTTTTACTGAAAGTGCCAAAATATATATATTTCAATTAACCATCAAGATGCACGCCGCCTTACACTACTAAGACGTGTGTAATATATTGTCATCCAATATTTGGTTACCGGTATGTTTTAGTTTTTTTTTCTGTACGTAGATTGTAAAGCTGTTTTGAGTATGACCTTTAGCACTGTTAACACAGCTCAGAGGTGTAGATACTGTATGGGTTTGTTTCTTGACATTTTGTTTTTAAAGGTCACAGCACTCTCAAAGATCAAAGTGAAACACAGTGAGGGGAAAGATGTTTGTACAATGTCTACAATTGGCAGTGGCGTGGCCAACAGAGGCCACTCTCATGTTGCGAAATAATAGACAGAGGCAGTCAATCAGACAGATTGGTCCGTTTTTGTTTTGTTTGTTTTTAAGTGCTGGTTGCTTCACAAAAAAATGTGTCGCGTGTGCTTATGTATTCCTAATTTGTCCTTTTCACTTTGGTTTAAACACAGCCATCGACTTTTATATGCTCGGCAAGAGCACCGTGAAGTGACAGTTAAGCCCGTAAGGTACAGTAGAAAATTTGGAAGGTTTAAAAGTGAAATGGTATTTATTGGCAGGTATGTGAATTTGACAAGCTACTCCAAAAAAAAATTTTTTTTCGCAAAGGATCGTATCTTTTCGAGTCCACCAATTTTGATCAGTTTTCTACAGTGCTTGTCCGCATTATGATTACTCGTCCAGCATGCTGCCAAATTCAGCACCATGTGATTGTTTACAAATACATCATTTGGTGGGATTGGTGTTGTCGTTCTTTGTTCGACAACAGGCGCTGACATTACATTCAGAGGTCACTCCTATTCCAATCGGAATGCATTGGCCTTTAGTGTGTCGTTTGGTAACCCCCAAAACAAAGTTTTAAAAATATTTTCAATGAAACGAAATGATTTTTGGTAAATACTCTGTGTGAAGACCAAATGTTTAAAATGACATTGCCGGTAATTTGTATCAAAGCCAAAGTACAACATTGTCCTATTGTACTTTATATCAAGGATATACTGTACAGTAGCCGCCACATCGATGCGTTTTGTTTGGAGGATCGCTGTATAAAAAATTGTTTCCCGTGCGCCATTAGCATTACACGCGTTTGTTGTTTATACACTGTGCACATCTATTGAAGATATTGTTAGCATCATAAAGTGGAGTTGGCATTCAGATACTGGTTGCCTCAAATGTTCATGCACATGCAGCAAGAAGCAGCAGTATTTGAATTGACAACATCGAGGTTTGATCATTCTGCAGGTATTTCAATGAATAATGGAAAATAAGAACGTTTTTATGATGTTCCAAGGGGTATGCTGCTAGATCACCAAGCTCATGGTATTTTCTATTGAGTAGGTAAAAAATATATATATTGATAGGAAATTCTGCGTTTGCTTGGGATGCAATCGTAGAAAGGGTTCTGTCAGTCGTCATCTGTACCTGTGGGTAAAAAACAAAAAAACAAAAAAAAACAAAAAAACAAAAAAAGCAAAAAAGGACGTTTCGCTTCTCTCACAGAAGCTTCGTCAGCGGTAGACAACCCTGAAGTCTCCGTGAAGACTCCGGGAAGTTGCTCTGCGCTAAAAAGCTGAGCGTGGCCTGTTTGAGGACTGGGTGGGGATGGTTAGTCACGCCCCTATTGGTTTATTAGAGGCCCATTGGTTTCTAAATTCCCTATCATTGGGTCTTGATTAGGCCTATTGTTTGGGCTAAGGCTGAATAGCTACTTTCAGTTAGCCTGATCAGCATGTCTATGTCCCTTACTGGTCAACAAGTTATTGTAAATAGGAGACAGGTTAAATCTGATACCTCCTTCACGGTTCAGAGAGGGTGAAAATTTTTTAACAAGTTTCGCCACCTTCTGCTAAGATACGGTAAGATGGCCACAGACACAAGCCCCTGACTTTCTGTCGTTTCTTTCGACGTCACAGCCCTGTTCACCTCGGTGCCCACAGCCAGGGCTGTAGAGGCTGTTAGAAGAAAACTTTTAGATGACAAAACGCTAGCTGAAAGAACTAAACTGTTGCCGGAACACATTTGTGAACTGTTAGAAATATGCCTCAACACAACTTACTTCAAATTCAGGGACACGTTTTACCACCAGGTCTTTGGATGGGCCATGGGATCCCCTGTGTCTCCCATTGTGGCCAACTTGTACATGGAAGAATTTGAAAATTTGGCAATGTCTTCAT